TAACAAGACCCCATATACCCCATATTCTATCTACGCAAGGGGGGCAAAATGTATATACATATATATATATATATATGAGATACTTTAAACTCCTTAGAGGGGGTTATATAGGGGATTGTATAGGGGCCTACTATAGGGCTTATTGAGGGGGATACTAAGAGTTTGGACAATAGCTTATATGAGGATTATACAGGGGTTGTTATAGGATCCACTGCCCCACTCTCCCTTAAGCACCAGTAAGTAACGATCTTTGGGCAGCGTCTACAGTCTGCAGTATACTGTCCCTAGACCCTAAACCCTAAACCTTAAACCATAAACCCTAAACCTTAAACCCTAAACCCTAAACCTTAAACCCTAAACCCTAAACCTTAAACCCTAAACCCTATCCTGTTCTTCTCACTAGTTTTACTTGGTTTCTAACTGATCTAGCAGAGGGGCCAGCATCATCCACTGCTTAGTGCCCAGCAGGAGACCAGCCAGGGTCCCTTTAAAGGGGATATGGGGGTTCTATTGGGGTTATATATGGTACCATATATGGGTTAAATAGGTTTAAGGTTTAGGGTTAAGCCGAGACTCCACTCTGGCAAAGCTGAAGCTCTGGTGCGACGTGAGTATTGCAAAGAGGCCAATCTGCTCCACTATCGCTTTCAGCTGCAAGCGCGTGCTCCTTTCTTGGAGGTAAACCCTAAACCCTGAACCTGCATGGCAACTGCGAAGAGGTTTCCAAAATCAAGGGTTCCTTTTTGGGGGCCTGATGACAGGGCTGTTTTGTATTTGCGGCTGTATTGTCTATACGGGAACCCTTATTTTGGAAATACCCCTGAACCCTAAGCCCTGAACCCTGCACCCTTGGCAGCACACTGCGCTAAGTTCCCATCAGTGAGGCACCCAGCTGTTCCAGCGGGAGAATTGCCATGCTCAGGTCCTGAGCCGCCCAAACGGTCGAGCGGTTTCAAGGTTCCCCCCAGTTTTTGTCAGCCCCTCTTTGATGGAGTTAAAGATGGGGCCGAAGACCATCAAAATAGTCCTAAAGACCGTAAACCCTGAACCCTTAACCTTGAACCCTGAAACCTAACCCTACCTGAACCCCAAAAGTGGGCAAAATAATAGCCCCAAACCCCCAAACGTAGCCCAAAAGGCAAATATTTCACATACTTTTGGGGTTCAGGTAAACCCTAAACTTTG